ATTGGATACCCTACTGCAAAAGCCCTAAATTTAGTCAAGATTGTTCATAATGTCAACGATCCTACCACGAAGTACCCACATCTTTTTGAAGGCATCGGCAAACTTAAAGATTACAAAGTAAAAATACACATTGATGAATCCATACCAYCTGTTGYACAGAAACACAGACGAGTACAATTTAACAAAAGAAACCAAGTCGAAGAAGAAATACAGAAACTTTTAGATCAAGATATTATTGAAAAGATAAATGGAGAACCAACACCGACCATGGGTTTCTCCAATCGTTGTTGTACCCAAGAAAGAAACAGATGCAGTACGAATCTGCGTAGACATGAGAGAAGCAAATAGAGCCATATTGCGTGAAAGACACCAAATGCCAACTGTTGAAGAACKAAAAACTTATCTCAATGGAGCTAAAGTATTCAGTAAAATAGATCTTACCTCAGGATACCACCAATTGGAASTACAAGAATCATCAAGAGACCTATCGCAACATTCGGTACCCATATTGGCCTTTTCAGATATAAACGCTTGAACTTTGGGATATCCTCAGCCCCTGAGATATTCCAAGAAACGATACGTAATGTTTTACATGATATACCAAATGCCAGAAATATAAGTGATGACATCATTGTCTTTGGAACAACTCAAGAAAAGCATGACAAAGCATTAGATGCAGTTTTTACAAGGCTTCATGACAAAGGACTGACCGTAAATAAAAAGAAATGTCTGTTCAACCAGGACAAAATTGCATTCTTTGGCCTTGTATTCAGCTCAGAAGGAATTTSGCCAGACCCAAAGAAAGTCAATGCGATTAACAGCGCACAAAGACCAAAAGATGTATCGGAAGTCAAGAGCTTGCTCGGAATGACAAACTATTGCAGTCAATTCATTAAAGACTACGCTACAATTTCTGAACCCCTACGACGCCTCACCAAGCAAAACACTCCATGGCTATGGTTTGATGAACAGGAAAAAGCATTCACGTCCCTCAAAGAACAATTAAGCAGTGATGCAGTAATGACATACTATGATCCCAAGAAAGACATTGAAATAATTGTAGACGCTAGTCCTCTTGGACTTGGCGCCATCTTGACACAAGATCAGAAAGTACTAAGTTATGCCAGCAGAGCGCTTACAGACGTAGAGTCACGGTATAGTCAAACAGAACGAGAAGCCCTRGCTATAGTATGGGCTTGTGAACACTATGACATGTATACCAATGGAGCCAAAAGCTTCACGGTAATCACAGATCACAAACCCCTAGAGAACATTTGGAAAAAGCCCAAACCTACGCCTAGAATAGAACGATGGGACCTACGTCTACAGCCTTATAAGCTCACCATWAAATACCAACCTGGAAGCAGCAACCCAAGTGATTATTTATCAAGACATCCAGTAAATACAGGAAAAATGTCACTACAGCAAAAGGTAGCTGAACAACATGTTAATYTCATTGTAAACACTTCAACTCCAAACTCAATGACATTAGATGAAATAAAAGATGCAACCAGCAAAGATAAAACACTGCAGAAGGTAATATCATTTGTACAAACATCACGCTAGTATGAAATGAAGCATTTAGATGACCCTGATATTGATACACAAGAAATACAAATGTTCTACAACATTAAAGATGAACTCACCTATTATTCAGACAATGTACTACTCAGAAACAACCTTATTGTAATACCATCTGCTTTACATAGTCAAGTTATTGACATTGCACATGAAGGCCATCAGGGCATGAGCCGCACTAAAGCCTTCATACGTTCAAAAGTATGGTTTCCCAGAATCAATGAAAAAGCTGAAACAGCAGTAAAAAATTGTATTGCCTGCCAAGCATCTTCTTACGACAACAGCTCATCAAAACAACCATTACAAATGTCTGACATGCCTCATGGTCCATGGGAAAATTTAAGCGCAGACTTCTGTGGACCCTTACCTACGGGAGAATATCTGTTTGTTATCACAGATGAACACTCACGATATCCAGTCGTCGAGATAGTAAAATCAATTACAGCAAATAACATCATACCTATTCTAGACAAAGTAATTTCACAATTTGGGTGCCCCAAAGTCATCAAAACTGACAATGGTCCACCATTTAATTCTGGCGCCTTCAAGAATTATGCACAACATATTGGATTTACTCATAGAAAGATCACACCCTTGTGGCCTCAAGCTAATTCACAAGCTGAATCATTTAATAAACCAATGATGAAGTCAATCAGAGCAGCACATACAGAAGGAAAGAACTGGAAACAAGAATTGCAAAAATTTCTACGGCAATACAGGAACACCCCTCACACCGCAACAAAGTTCACACCATTCCGTCTACTATTTGGCAGAGATCCAAAAACAAAGCTACCAGAGATTGATATCAAAAAACAAGAAGAATCAGTTGTCACAAAGCAAGCTAAACTAAATGATCAAACAGCTAAAGACAAAGCAAAAAGATATGCTGACTCAAGGAATAAAGCACAATACAAAGGACTTCAAATAGGAGATAGAGTACTTCTAAAAAATGAGAAGAAGAAGAACAAGCTGACAACACCATATGACCCGAATCCATTTGTTGTAAAAGAAAAGAAGGGACCTATGGTAACTGTTACATCAGCACATAGAAATGTAACAAGGAATGCATCATTCTTTAAGAAACTACCCAGCTCTCCGCAACAGCCAGAACAACAGCCAAACCAACGTGCAAAAGAAACTGGAAATCCAAGTAGACCAGTGAGAACGAAAAGGCTGCCAACATACTTGAAAGACTACATTACTTACTGAACACTCAGTGACATTTATTCTATTTGTAATTTTGTCATGTTTATGTATTTATTAAGATTTGTTTGTCGTTATTATATTTCATTGATTAGAATTGATTTAT